GCATCTTCTGTCTGATCTGAAACTATTGCTGTAATCTACCAGTTTTATTTAAGTAAATTTAGATTTTCTTCTTACATATGTTGAAATGATTTGTAAGGTTTTGAAATCTACATTATATGTATGTACATACAGATACATATAGAAAAATGTGGTTAATATGTAAAACATATAATTATTAGATGTCATTTTACGTACATAAATATGTATGTTGCTGAGAAACAGGTTGTGGACCTTCTGTCTTTGGAGACTTTGAAAACTTGTGTGGGCAAGACCTTGAACAACCTTGTCTAGCTTTCCTATTGCCCCTGCTTTGAGCAGAAGAATGGTTTAATTGTCTTCAGAGATCTCATGGAACCTAAGTCTTAATGTAACTCCAATGTTCAAAAACTGACCTAGAGCCTGAGTGTTGCCGACAGACTTATGATGTTAATATAGTGCATTCCTGTAAGGACAGTAGTGCAGGATCAAAGGTACACTTCTGTCAAGCTGGAGTGCTTTTCCCCATTCTGTAGATGAATCCGTGTAGTAAATGAATGTGGAGTTAGTCTGACAATAGTCTCTAAAGCATAAAAGCATCCCTTCTGTAGTAGTTTAACTTGGCTGGCAGCCAAAAACCACATAGCCACTTGCTCACCTACCCTCGCTGCCTTCCTCCTCTACCAAGGGAATAGGGGAGAGAATTGGAGGCATAAAGGTAAGGAGACTTGTAGATTGAGATAAGAACAATTTAATGATTGGAGTAAAATAAACTTAAAATAATAATGGTAATAAGAATGATAATGATAATAATATATATAAATGAGAGATGCACAGGAGAATTGCTCACCACCCACTGAGAACGATCCCAGAGGAGTGAAAAGGAACCCTGAACCTGAAACCGCAATCCTGGAAGAGCAAGCCCAAGAGATCCCTGAGAGAATCCCCCCACTTTCCAGTCAACCCTCATGTATATACTGAACATGTCATTATATGATATGGGCTATCTCATTAGCATATCCAAATGCCACTTTTGGGTTTTGCTGATTACTACAGTTTTCCCCCCAGTCCTTTGCACTTGCAGACTAGCAAAACACAAAGTCCCTGGACTTCCAACAACAACTACACCATTAGCATATTATCAACATTCTTCTCATAACAAATCCCCTACTGAAACCGAAACACAGTGCTATCCTAGCTACTAAGAAGAAAATTAACTCTATCCTAGCAAAACCTGGACACCTTCTTATTCAGCAGCATGAAAGAACGAATAGGGCTTTGTGCAGATCAAATGCATGTTTATCCAGTTGGGCATGGCTGAGTGAGTCAATGGGAGGGAATGATGTTGTGAGGACGCTGAAGCAGGACTAAGTACTTGTGGTGATCAGCAAGAAGGAATGAATTGTGCTTGCTTCTGTTGTTCACTGAATTTTCATATGAGTGTGTACAGGTGCTGTGTTAGTTAAGTCTGCATGTGAACACAGTAGTACTGAGTCACTGAGTGTGGCTAAAAGAGCATTACACAATTCTGTTTCAACGTTTCAGCCACCATAAATCTAGGTTTCTTACTATTGCATGATAGCACATATATTATCTTCAGCCTTTCCTTCAAAACTTCTCAGATAAGGAAACAGCTCTATATTACACCTTTTTAGACATGCAACTTCAGGCAAACTTGCAAGGAAACTGTTACCATTAGGACTGTTCTAATGTAATGTATATGTGAAAATGAAACATTCTATAGACAGAATAAGATTGTGCCATTTGAAAGGGTATTTTAACTATGAATGAGAAATCAGGCACAGTAAGAACATGTATTGGAATTTACGCAAATAGCTTTTAGTCAGATTAATGAGAAGAAAGGATATAGAAAGGAAAAGAGTGAATCTGTATTTCTCTTTTTAACTATGAAGTTCACTAGTAAACTTCTGGTTTGCAGTCTGATGTTGTGGTGGTTGATTTGCCATTGTATTTGCTTGGATCACTGAAGAAATGCCTATTCTGTATTTTTTTACAAGCTCCTTTGCTGTGCAAACTCAATGACAGTTTCGTGTAGGAAAGAAGCTTAGATCACAGAATAACAGAGTGATTGAGGTTGGAAGGGACCTCTGAAGCAGGGACTCCTAGAGCACATGAACGAGGATTTTGTCCAGATAGTTTTTGTATATTTCCAGGGAGGGAGACTCTATAACCTCTCTGGGCAGCCTGTTCCAGTGCTCAGTCACCTTCACAGTAAAGAAGTTCTTCCTTATGTTCAGGTAGAACTTTCTGTGCTGCAGTTTATGCCCGTTGCCTCTTGTCCTATTGTTGGGTGAGAAAAGTCTGGCCCGGTCCTCTGGACACTCTCCCTTTAGATATTTATAAACATTGATCAGATCCCCTCTAAGTCGTCTTTTCTCCAGGCTGAACAGTCCCAGCTTCCTCAGCCTTTCCTCATATGAAATATGCTCCAGTCCTTGAATTATCTTAGTCGCCCTTCACTGGACACACTCCAGGAGTTCCATGTCCTTCTTGTACTGGGGAGCCCAGAACCTGACACAGTACTCCAGGTGAGACCTCAGCAGGGCGAGTGGAAGAGGAGGATCACCTCTCTCGACCTGCTGGCAACACTCTTCCTAATACAACCCAGGATACCATCAGCCTTCCTGGCCACAAGAGCACACTGCTGGCTCATATTTAACTTGTTGTCCACCAGGACTCCCAGGTCCTTTTCTGCAGGGCTGCTTTGCAGGAGGTCAGCCCCAACCTGTACTGGTGCATGGGGTTATTCCTTCCCGTTTGCAGGACTCAGCACTTCCCCTTGTTGAACCTCATGAGGTTCCTCTGCCCATCTCTCCAGCCTGTCGAGGTCCCTCTGAACAGCAGCGCAGCCATCTGGTGTATCCAACACTCCTCTCAGTTTAGTATCATCAGCAAATTTGCTGAGGAGGCACTCTGTTCCTTCATCTAAGTAACTGATTAATAGGTTGAACATCACTGGACCAAGTATTGACCCCTGTGGGACACCACTGGGTACAGGCTTCCAGCTTGATTCCACACCACCAATGACAATCCTCTGAGCTCTGCCATTCAGCCAGTTCTCAATCCACTTCACTGTCAAATCACCAAGTCCACGCTTCCTGAGTTTGCCAATGAAGATGTCATGGGAGACATTATCAAAAGCCTTGCTCATGTCCAAGTATACAAGATCCACTGCCCTCCCCTTGTCTATCCAGCCAGTTTACCTGAACTAGAAGGCAATCAGGTTAGTTAAGCATGATTTCCCTTTGGTGAATCCATGCTGACTGCCCCTGATAACTTTCTTGTCTTTCACATGCTTAGAGATGGCCTCCGGGATGAGCTGTTCCATGACCTTTCCAGGGACTGAGGTAAGGCTGACTGACCTGTAGTTCTCTAGGTCCTCCTTCTTACCCTTCTTGAAGACAGGGTTGACATTTGCCTTCTTCCAGTCTTCAGGAACCTCTCTTGATTGCCATAACTTCTCAAAGATGATCAATAGTGGCCTAGCAATGATGTCAGCCAGCTCCCCCAGCACATGTGGGTGCCTCCCATCAGGGCCCATGGACTTGTGGGTGTTAAGGTTGCATAGTCGATCTCTAACCCAATACTCATAGACTAAGGGAAAGCCTTCCCGACTCTCTCACTGGTCTCTTGGGTCAGGGATTCCTGAGGGGTGGCCTTGGCAGTGAAGACTGAAGCAAAGAAGGCATTCAGTAACTCTGCCTTCTCCGTGTCCTTTGTTACCAGGTACCCTGCCCTTGTCTCTAAACATCCTTGTATGTGTCCCTGCCTACCAGCAGTTGGTTATAGTGTCTGATTCTCAAACATTCATGCAGAGCTCTACCCCATGTCAAAGAACATGGTTTTAATTCTTATTCCTTTTCTTCTCTGTGTCAGTGATAAGCCACAGGTCTTTAACCATAGCCCTGACAAATGCAGTGAATTGAGACATAAATTTGGAATCGCAATCTCTGCCCGAGGCCTTCTGGGGATTCCCTGAGAGCTGTGATTCATTTTGACAACTAGGACCCACATGAAGGGTGGCTGGATTTAGCAGAGGAGAGGCAAGTTAACTATGTCCTGCTCCAAAGGTCGGACCCTGTGTGTGAATGCCCTCTTTAGCTGGCAGTTAGAAAACCTCAGCATGTTGCCACTCATCTGATTGTGTCTAAGACAAATGTGGCAGGTACAGCATTAAATCCTGGGTAGACTGGCTAGTTGAGACTTCTGGGAGAGACCATAGAATCATGGAATCATTTTGGTTGGAAAGGACCTTTAAGATCATTGAATCCAACCATAAACCTAACACTGCCAAGTTCATGTCTAAGCCATTTCCCTAAGCACTAAATCTACATGTCTTTTACATACCTCCAGGGATGGTTACTTAGTCTGACCTACTGCGTATAGGCTTGGAAGATGAGCTTGCTAAGGTAAAAGTAATTTATGGGGAGATAGCACAAAACCTTGCAAAACAGGAACCCTTTTTCTGGCTGGGATCTCTGAGAACAGAAGAAATTATCTTGTGTAATGGGATTGTGAGAAGGAATTACAAAGTTTCTTATTAATGCAGTGAAAAGAATAGCCTTTGAGTATTTCTTTGAAAAAAAATTAGCAATATCTTCAGTTGTAGCTGATAAACCTAAAACCAGAGGGGGTGAAGTAAGTGCAAGTGAAAGTGTGCTTTTTTGCTGAATATTAGCAAACTTCTCTGATAAGAATTGTGCTGGATTGAATGTGGTGACTGACTGGATCTTTCTAATTTGTCCATCCCATTTATTCCATATCTTGTGCTAGTCAGAATCTTGACATAGAGTCTGCCTTTGTGAGGTTTCTTGTATGAACAGGAGCACACTTCTATTTCAGCACCATTTAGTAACTGATTTGTGGCAATTGTGTGTTTGTCCTCTGATTTCAGACTGTACTTCGAAGATAGCATAGGATGCAGATGTGTGAAACTGTGTTACTGCCTTTAGTTTGTAAATCTGACTGGAGATTCTAGTAACAGTTACTTTCTTGTCTTTCAGGTATTGATAGCTGATGACTACTCAGATCCATTTGATGCCAAAAGTGAGTTGAACAGAATGGGAAAAGGGGAAAACACTGGCTATATGGAACCATATGAAGCCCAGAGAATAATGACTGGTAAGAAAAGACAGTTGCATATGTGAACTTTAATTGCATGGCAGTTCACATGGAATGTGAGCTGCTATGAAACAGACATGTCTTTTGGCATGCAAAACCATGTTTCTGAAGATGCTTAGGTAGTCAACAGTAAACGCCATGGAGGTTTTTCATGCCCTGGTATCTAAAAATACTGCTCTGGACCTCACTATCGAGTATAGATCATTTGTACTGTCATGTGCAAAGATGAAAATGTGAGCAGTGGGAATTGGAGTGTATATTGCTCAGCTAGGCAATGTCAAAGCTGTCATCTGTGTATGTAGCAGGGAAGGCCAAAACAGGACATTCTGTTAGTTCACTTAAAAACAGTTATCAAATTGCTTATGGCCTTGTTTTCCTAGATGAGATTCAGACTTCTTGGTCTTCCATCTGTTGAAGGAGGGCTGCAAAGCTACATCTTTGTGTAGCTTCCTTCCTTCCTCGCTTCTTTCCTTCCTTCCTTCCTTCCTTCCTTCTTTCCTCAGTTCTCTGATGGTTTTTTTGTATTGTCAAAATGAGACACTTCATGATGCCTGTGAGCCTTTAACTGCTGTTCTTGGTAGCATCCTTCCTTCTCTGTTACGTAGGGAGCTGGTGAATGCTCGTATTGTAGGAGTTCAGACTGTTTGAACCCTTTGTCCTAGCATTATATGACTCTATTGTCTTTGTATTTTTGTCATATTATTTGCATCCATTTCCTACTTATTGGCTGTGCAGGCTGTAAACTTTTCTGGGGTATGGGGCCATATATTTTTAATTTATGATGATTTGACTCAACCAACACACATCTTTGTGCAGACTAATTGTGCATTTCTTGGATTTGTACAGCAGGCCCTCTTTTTCTCACTATGAAGTAAAAGTCACTCTTGTGCCCAATTAAGTTGATTGTATGCTTTCCTTTTCTATTGGCAGCTCCTGTTTTGGGCCCTCAGGAAAGATTAATCAGTGGGGGAAGATGAGGCTGTTGGATGCAAAGATCCTTTTTTCATGCAAGTGTTTCTATTTTTCTTTTCTTAAGTAGCATTTCTGAAGAGAGACAAAGGAAATGACATGTAGGCTATATTGTTTGGAAGTTTTCAGTATCTATAATTATAGAGGGGCTGGGAGCTTTTATTTCTCATTGATATAAATCTGTTCATTCTAGTTGAGTAATTTCTCAGAAAAACAAATTAGTCCCAATAAGTTCTTAGTCTTTATGCAACAGTGATGAGCATTTGTGTTTTTAACTATTAAGTTTACAGTGCTTTGATTTCTTTCTTCCTGTGTTTAGGACAGAAGCTTATTCTATCTCTTTTTCCATATTAGCCATAATAAATGGAATGTTTTATTGGGCAATACTGGATGGCTTAGCTAAAGTAAGGGACAGCAAATTTGTGTACCTTTAAAATTGCAAGACACCCTTTTGCCAAATTGGTGTTTGGTGCAGCTGATAAGCTGTATATCTACTCTGTATGTTATTATAAAGCAAACATGAGAAGCTCTTAAAGATGCTAAAAGCACTTTCAAAACTGAGGTTTAATTGTGTATGATATCATAAGTGTTCTGAATATGCATTTGATTGATCCAGTAGAAGATGCTTGATACCTCCAGGAAGATGTTTAAAGTTTTGAGATTGGAGTATTTGGTTTCCAGTCATCTTGTCCTAATGCTGGTAGAAATAGAGGAAGTCTTCCCATAAGCCTCATTGAGGTCAGGTTATATTCCACTATATTCAAGCACGTAGTTTCATGTTTGCTTTTTTTATTGCACAGATGTTGCCTGTGCATTTTACTTGACAAATGAAAATCCAAAGGCATCTTTTTGGAGAGTTTTTAAGATTCAGTTTGTATTTCCCAAGTGAGTTCTACTATGTATCTACTACTTCTAAAGAAGACCTTTGGACTGCAATTTGGTTGGCCTCAAAATGTTTACTGCTTTGTTTGTTATATTTGTTTGTTAGCTCTGCTGTCTGGTGAGCAAAAGAATGTTATATGGCTATCCATTTTGCTTAACTAATTTGGTGAAGTCCTTCTGACTGTATCTAACATGAGTTAATTCCAGAGAAGGGGAATCTGCATACTCCAGCAGAATGCACTTTAGGAGACACAGAAAATAAAAGATATTTTTGTCAGTTATTCCTTGTTTACAGAGCTACCCTAACTCTTGATCAACTCTGGAAACCAGGTGTAAGGGGTAGTTTGAAATAGGAACCTGAAGTTTTTGTGCATGCTGCATTTTCCTTGAGTTAGTAGATTAGGTGTAAGCAAATGTCCATATGAAATAAGATCCTATTATTTCAATTTCAGAAACTAAGCTTACACCTGAAGAGAAACGTATGATGTCTGAAATAACTAATGTGTTGATTCAAAACTTCAAGTCTTCCGCCCTGAAAGCTCTGTGGGCTTGCAGTCTTAATGCAGTTGGTTCTCAACTGATATTTAATTTAAAAAAAAAAAAAGTGTTGAAGGAAGTCGATGATTTCAATAAACTATTGAATGTTCTATCTGATTCCATGCTGTCTGTGGTTAGAATTGTGTTTAAGCTTGAAGGCTTAAAGTTTCTTCTGCTCATAGTGTCCCCCAAAAATACTGTCTTCCCAGATTTGTGGTTATGGTTATTGAAAGAAAGCGACCTTTATGCCAAGGTTTGGAAAGGCTTTTTGAGGAAAGGCTTGGTAGAGCATATTGAGAATGAATGCATGTTTATAAGAAGCTCTCATCACCTGACAGCCAAACATGTCTGCTGGCTAGTTCTGATATTTATGTCTGTCCTTCCTCAGGAAGTCCATGACAGAGGTTCAGAGAAAATCCCTGGGAATCCAGTTCCTGGTATACTGTGTGGTGTGAGTCTCAGCTTGGGTGGGTGTGCACCTAAAGCCACAGGAACAGTGTTGCATCCTTGCCTTATCCCAAAACTGTTTGGGGATTGGATGTCCCAGAGTAAATTCAGATATATGAAGGAAGTTCTCTGTGATGTTATTATCTGACATACTGTATTCATGGAGTGACGTCCTGGCCTGGCTGCTATAATGCATGCATGCATTCATGAAAAAAAGTACTGATAGCTGAGAAGATGCTGATTTCTAAGGATCCTGAGAAGTAGGTGGACCAGAGAGAAAAAAGTAACCTGTTAAAAAGATAATGGCATTGCTGATACTGCCTGGATATCTACAACCTAGCAAGAAATAGATGAGGAAGAGTTGGAGGCAAAGAGAAGAGGAAAGAAGAAATAATGCAAGGTAACTGTGACTGGTGTTCCTTATAAAGCTGCAGCCCCATGTGCCGATTTACATGTGCACTAACAGGTGAAAGAACTCTGTTCACTCTTGGAACAGCAGTATAAATCCCAATTGTTCCCTTGCAAGGGCTAGATTGTCTATCCAAGTGTGTTGTAAGTATGGTGTTTCCACTGTTTTCTTATGCAAGTTTTCAATTCTTATTTTTTCCCTAGTATCAGTCTGTACCTTCTGCTACATGTGGCCTGTCATAGAAACAGGCCTGTGGTGCCTTACCAGGCCAGTAACTAAGCATCATTGCTTAGGTCAGATGTAGGAGGTACTTCATACTTGAGAGAGTTCTCCAGAGGACCAGTAGCTGGAAGTGCTGCATTTGAACAGAAGTGAAGTGAATTATTAAGGCACTGTCCAGTGGTGGTGTGCATAATACTGGCTACAAGAATGACATAATAAACTGCATCCGTTGCCCTTCTTAACTTGCTACTTGGTTTTGAAGGAAGCTCCATACCCCCAACTCACAATATTTTGAGTACAAGATGCCTAGCATGATTTTTAATTAGTTTACTTGTGAGTTTTCTGTGAGAAGGGAAGTAAAAAGCATTATTTGAGGGGCATGCCTACTTTGAGGGATGTGTGTTGGCAAAAACAGTGCTATCTTCCAGATGAGGAGCTGTCTTTTCTGTGCTCTAGAATGGGTAGTGAAGGAGAGTTAGGGCACACTAGGCCCTTGAGTTAGAACAATGGCTTGAAAGTTGAGGTAAGCATACAGTAGAGGCCTAGAAGTGCGTCAAGTCTGTGCCCTGCCTGGAAGTTTGAATGTACACCATGTTTTTCTTTTGCTTTTTTAGGCATCACCTAGATCTGTGCCAGGGACATCAGCCCCTCCATGGGCTTCTGGCCTCAGTATCATGCATCTGCCTCAGGGACATGATAGACAGGGAGAAATGCCTCTTGTTGTATTTCAGAATTCTGTAGACTTCAATGGGTAGCATTTCTGAAAATAGTTACTTTCCCTGAAATGTAATGTGCCATTTGGTATTCTTCATGGAGCAAATGCTGGGATGTGAACAGACTTGTCATAACATTATTGATAAAATGTACACTGTGCCTCTCTGCTGTTCAGGGTGACTTTAGAGGCTACTCAGGGCATAAAAAATCTCCTTCCAGACAGTCAAAGGAAGATGTTTGAGGAAGCAGGAATTCAGTCTTGTATTGATGCATTTCTCACAAGAAGCTAGTCACACAGTTGTCCTGGGATCTGGGCATGTTAAATCTTGAAGGTGGGGTATACTGACCCACAAGATCAGGGGAAGTGCTCGATGGGCATTTAGTCAGTCCCGAATCAACACAGCAGCATGCTAAGAGTAACCCTTGGAGGCTGGAAGGCCTAAGTAAGTTGCAAAAGGGCTTCTGGCCATAAATGGAAAGTTGAATTCAAGTCTCCCAAATGTAGTTAAATCTGGAAAGAACATGTCCTTCCCCATACAAGCCTGATCTGTGTAGGGCAGACTGAGCAGACAAGCTTGTGTACATGCTCCAGGGCTGGGTAGCTGGTACAGGAGAAGGATCTGTGTGCTGCACCTGAAGAGCTGTAAATTATTTCTAGGAATGCTCTAGAGCATTTGGATCAAGGCACAGAGATATCTGTTGTCTTACCTGTGTTGTTCAATGTGTTCATCAACCTGGGTGATGACACATCTGCACTACCAGCAAAGGTGAACATAGACTATGGGAAGTGCTTGATGAGGAAGAGCAAAGCCTCCATCCA